ATATATAGTTGGATCAAATGAATTTAATTTAACTAGATTTCATCAAAATCAGTAGTTGAGTCACACTTAAAAGGAATTGTAACAGCCAACAAATCACTATATAAAAAGAAGATAAAACCTTGTTTCCTGGATGTGCCATAGCATTACGAAAGTTTGCATTTTGAAGGAGTTCAAGGAAGAAAAGGCAATGCGGATACCTGAAAACATCACAAAATAGAATGTAACCAGGTTCATTTGAATATAGCCAAAAAAACAAAACATTTAAAACTCTGATACATAGGGCTGGACAATAAAATCATGACAGATTTATAGAAAGTCAGTATAAATGAGCTCACATTATAAATTTAATGTACTCTGGTCGTTGCCAATACTGAAGATATTTCAAGTATCCAATAAAAGCCTCATCTTCAAAGTATCTGTTTTGAGCCAAATCTGTTCAAGAAATAAAAAATCAATGCACGGAGTGCTAATGAAAACAATGAGACAATGTAATTTCACATTCATGAACATATTTTGCAACTAGAGAAAACTAGTAAACTTAGCTTTACAGAGTGAACCCATGTCTGGGGTTGGAAGTGAACCAAATAATTAATAAACAGTTCGGTTATTATTCGTCCAGATATTCGGTCAACTTTGATTCGATCGTTCATTTAATACTAAACAAATAATTTTTAGCATTCGACTTATAAATGAATAGAATTAAACCAAAGGTACGTTCGATTCGGTTGATTATTAACTATTCGATAACTTTTTACATTTAGTCTATTAATTAAACTTATTACAAATATTACCTATCTAAATTTTTATTTACAACTATTACCCACATATAAATATTTAAGTTGATGGAATCCAGTGCTTCACCTTCATTTCTTTTTCCGCCTCCAGATCTCACGCCTCTCTCTCTCTCTCTCCCCCCACCAACAGATTCATTGCTCTCTCTCAAGCTCTGTCGTCTTCCCCCTCGCCGGCGAATCGAGTGCTCTCTCTCAAGCTCCGCCTTCTTCCCCCTCACCAGCGGAGCCCTCTCGCTGTCTCAAGCTCCACTCTCTTCCCCCTCGTCAGCCGAACCTTCACACCCTCTCGCAGTCTCCCTCAGCCTTCGCTGATTTACCCCCTTGGCCTCGAGTTTCGACAGTCACAGTCTCTTCCCTCTCGACCCTTCCTCAAGTCTCGAATCTCGACTCTTCATCTGCGAATTGAGCTCTTCATTAGCACTTTAGTCCCCTCGACTTCACCATCAGGATCTCCGTTAATCGCTACCTCCCCAAGCCCAACGAAACTCCACCGGCGTCGCCTCTACCTCCCCAACCTACAACTCCTTCATCAAAATGTAAGTTGAGGCTTAAAGTTACATTTTTTTAAAATTTTGATCAGAGATTTGATTTATCAATTTCTATAATGATTACAAATTATAATGATATAATCCTACAATTGAAGTCCAATAGTTTTGGGCTCTGACTAAATTGTTGCAATTTTTTAACTTTGATCAGAGATTTGATTTTTCTTTAATTTCGAATAATTGATGAATAGATATCGAATATTAAAAGAATAATGCAGGGAAAATCACAGTTTGTTGTTAAACAAATATTCGCGAATAATTATCGAACTCGAATAAATGTTGTCGAATCGAATTTGAATGATCATTTAGTATTTGACTCGAATATGATCATGAATTCGAATATATGAAAATGAACCAAATCCGAATTTGAATAGGTAGTTGTTCGCTTCGATTCGGTCGTTTACCTGCCCTACCCATGTCCAACACAAGAAATCACATAAACAACATTAGTTTTACAAAATATATTGAGATTCCTTTGGAAAATTCTTTAGTAAGAAAGGCATCTTCACCTTCAATCATACATCCAGCTAATAAATCATACATCCAGCTAATAACAGTTAGCTAATAACAGTTCAGTGATTATGTGTGGTAATTTGATCACTAGAGTAATGTCACCAAGACAACCTTCAAGGAAAAAATTTAACAATACATCACAACTCACAATAGTCTGTCTAAAAGGCACACGTGCTAAGAACCACATCATTGAGTTCAACAACAATGATCAACTTTATGGTGTAATTTGAAATCTTTATGGCTACACTTGCCACTTGGCAAGGTCATCCAATAATTGAACTATATCTCAATTTCATAATTACAAAATAAAGGAATTTATTCTCAAAATAATAAAGGATTAAAACTAACATTAGTAAAGATAACTTTGCCTCAAACCAATCACAATTCCAACAAGCCCATTAATTAACTCTAATAAAACTTACAGTGAATATAGGTTGGATTCGCTAAGCACTGCACAAATTCAAGTTCAAGAAGGAATCTACGTTTGCCGTCATCGGGATCCTTGTACTTATTCTTTGATCTGCAAGCAAAATTATCATAAGAGACAAATTCGAGCCCTAAAACCCTAAAATGGATTGAAAAGTAAATTAGGACAAGGTACTTGCGCTGACGAGGGTTCAGTTGAGGGATCGAGGGCAGCGTCGTCGTCTTTGATAGAAGAAGCCATTAGGGTTTTGGAAGCCTGAGAGCAGAGAGGTTCGTGATTTGAGAAGAAAACTATTGAGATTGAAGTGAATATAATTTGATATTGAAATTGTACTCAAACTACAACAAAGAGTTTAGTAAAGGGTGTCATTGCATTCAATACTAAAGAAGAGTTGCAGATAAGAAATACATATCGATCAAACATAATTTCTTCATGTCCAACCTCCCCTAAGAAATAGTTGGTCATGTGCTTGGTGCCATCATCTTGAATGCATGAATCATACAAAATGTCGATTGCTGAATGCGCATCCTATCAGGACGCCACGCACAATGCGGGGCATTCTGATCCAACCATGAGAACCACAATGGGGTATTTTGGTAAAAATCATGTGTCATGCGTGGAGATATTCCCGCCTATGCTTCTGTTTTGATAGGAATATTACTCTCGATTGCTGCCTCCTTGCACAATATAGTGTAGAAGAAACTTATGATAGTAATATAAGATCCATTAACATTCTTCGTTATTAAATCTTTGTGGGTGGCACAAACTTCTTGTTTCCTAATTTTTTGCATCACAAGATTAGCGCAACCAGTACTAGAACGTCTATCATTGACCGATTCATCCAAATCTACAATTACGAGATCTTCTGCATGGGGATGATGAGGTTTTATAGATATGATACTCTTCTTTAAGGATGAATCTTCGAATACATTTTATTAATTGACTGATAAAGTCAAATGTATAAGTAATTTCTAATGGAATAATGGAAAGATATAACAATCTCCATCAAAACCTTTGGTATTGATGAACATCTTTGATGAACTCCTTACCATAATTTCGCTATTAGTTGCTTAATCTTTCATATTTTAAAATTAGTACCTCAAATCACTAAAATTGCTATTCGACCCTTCAATTCTTAAGTTATTTTGAAACCAATTTTTAATGAAGACTAGAAGTAGTTTTTTTGGGGATTATTTTGAAACAACTTACGAGGGCTAATAGCAATTCAGATTTGATGGGCTAATTCAAATATGAAAGATCATGCGACCAATACTGAAAAGATTCTTTTATCCAAAAGACCATAATATCTATTAACTATTTGAAGCATGGAGTATAAATTTGAGGATTATTGCAAATAAGGGGCAAAATAGTATTTATGTAGTTTTAAGATTAGTTGTTAAAATATTTATGACATGAAAGATATAGGGGAAAAAAGAAGAAATTTTGCCATGAACTTTCCATCAAATATATGCCCATATATATATTTAAAAAGTAACTAGGGTGTTATAATTAATTATCTGATTGACAAAATAAGAGGGGGAGTTAAAATGAAGTCTCGCTTGGCTTTCACGATTTCAATATCAAATTATATTCACCTCAATCTTCGTAGTTTTCTTCTCAAATCTTGAATCTCTCTGCTCTCAGGCTTCCAAAACCCTAATGGCTTCTTAATGGCTTCTTCTATCAAAGACAACGACCCTACCCCCGATCCCTCAACT